TATAACCAGTAAGTTTTCTGCTAGTTTAACCAGATACCAGCCATGGCTAGCACAGGGGAAGAGCCTGAAGGAGACAACCCCTTTCAGCTCTGAGTTAGATCAGCTCATTCACCTTGTAAAAATCTCTCCTTTCAGCTGCTGGAGACTAATGGTAAGAAACACTCTAAATCTAAAACACTCATATCAGCTGAAAGCTATCCATGCAGAACACACATGTACATATCTACAAAAACACATCCGCACAATCCATTTGACACAGAGATATTTCTGGATGCAAAGAGAGGATGGTTTGACAGAGTACCAGTTCTTTCAGATTTCTGATTTTGAGCACCTGAGGTATTTTAAGCCCAGGTTCCCAATAGGAGCTTAGGTCCAGTGAAACTACAGACATACATCTTTTCTAACCATAACTAGGCATGTGTCTTAACAGAAGAACAGTAGATAGAAGCATCAAAGGTGAGACTTGATAAACTGCAGTTTTCCTTCTTACTTGTCTATTCTTATAAGGCAGGTTACTACTAAAATAACCAACAGAAAAATATATACTGATAGTCAACTGTGTGTTCTTGTAGATAGTGAGATGCTACAAAAAATTTGCATGCAGGGGCAAAGAGGATTAAAAAATGCTCTTAAAACTGCAGTTTTCCACTGCTGCTTTCCTTGCTAAATTGGTAGCTGAGGAATGATTCATACACCAGGTGCACACAATTTTACTTTTTCAGAAGATGCTTCAGCTACATTCGTTTGTTTATTTTACCTATGGCTATTTTATTTTTCTTTTAAGTTAGGACCCTAACTGCTGGTACAAGCTAAGCAGTAGCCCATGGCATTAACTGTACTGAAACCCAGCAAGGCAGGAAAGGGCACTCTCCATGTGGTTCCAAGCAGAAACCCTTATAACATGCCACATACCCTGTTATCTCACCAAGCTGACCTCAGTGAGGGCCACGTTTTTTGTCCCTTGAACAGACTTCCCAGCTGTGCTGTGGAAACATCATCTACCAGCACACCCTAATTAAAGCTACAAGCAATCAAGATTTATTCTGTGTAAAACAACACCCAAAAAAATCACTTGGCAAGGAAGGGCTGACAGTAGCAGGGGGTGTTGCTTTGAATTACAAAAGCATTTACCCACAGACTGAGATTTACAGTGGAGCTTTCTTTGCTTGAGAAAGGCCTTTTATGTCAGCAGCCAGCACTACATTAATTATGGTTTTGGAAGCCTGGCTCTTACCTCCATGACTTTCTTGCTTGCTTCAGATAAGAAAATTCAACTTCCAGAGCAGGAGCCATGGTGGGGGCTCCTTGTCCTGGGACCTGGCACACTCTGTGCCCTGCACCCAGGCAGGGAGCCCAAGGGTGTTCATCTTCACTAGAAAGCAGAATCTATGGCTGGTAGCTCTATGAACACCTCTTTTTAAAATTCCCATCTATTCTTTCCCTTTGTCAATCCAAGAAGACTAAAGAGTCTCAGATGCAGTCACATATCTCAGCCATTACTTCAGGGTCAATCCAAATTTTAACTGAATCACTCTGTTTAGCCTATTTAGTTTTCCACTTTCTTTTAATGCTATTTTCATCACCTCTTATTAAAATACTTTAGTTCCCCAAATGAAGAGTAACTATGCCCTATTACATCTTACCATTAGGTTCTTCCTAGCCACTTCTGACAGCAAAACAAAAATCAGTACCTGTTTAAAAAGTTCTTAGTTTGGAGGAGAGCACCTCAAACCATTTGACCTCCAAAAGGAGGTTAAAGTCCCTCAGCACCTTACTTGTACAAGCATTTTGTGGAAGAGAAACTCCTTCGGCTGTACAACTTCAGTTTCTTTTCCAACAAAGGTCAGTAACAGAAGTAATATCTTCTTATATCTAACTTCTGCATAATCAAAGCCAATCATCATTTGACAGAAAAGATACAGATGATCTCTCGAAGATACAGACTCAGTTAAACAAAGGCAAGAGTGTTATGACATAAAAGAAAGCATACAGTTAAGATACATTCACACTGTTCTACATATGACTCTATCTTTTCACTTTACAGTGATTAAGAACTCCTACAGTATCTACAGTCTTTGTCCAGTTTCAATACATGCATGAGATTTAGAAAGTTGTTTGAATATTTATTTTCAAGTAGAACTGTCACTATTTCCTTGCAACTTTCAAAAACAGTGTATAGTCAAAAACTTTTTCTATTTATAAAAATGGTTAGATCATAGCAGATACGTTATTTTTTTGTCTACCCTACTGAGATAATGTTCACACAAGAACCACCAGTAGAGGCATAAGTTTTGGCCGTATTTAAGGAAATGGCAACTGCATCCTCTGGTTGTCTACATCCTCTGGTTCTATTAGTCTGGATCAAAATCACTCACTATTTTAAGTGAACTGAGAGGTTGCTGTATACATACTCTTATGAAGCACTGCTCTAAACTTAAAAGAGTATGCTCTATACATTAAAACGCCGTAATAATTGTCAGCCTTCCCAAAACCAAAAGAAAACATGCTAGCATACCCGAAGGGCTCCACATTGTACAGACCTTTCTCTCTATTTCTTTTCCCCAAAAGCAAAGAAGTAAGCTTTGCAGCATGCTCTGGACAAATGATTTGGGTTATTTCAGATAAAAAAGAATGAACCCTAAAGTCTAGAACTAGCAAGAAACCAGTAAAACCAGAAAAAACATTAAAACCCCACCACCTTATCAGCAGCTCTTAAAACCCTAGTTACACCAAAAAGCCTATTAACATGGAAATTCTTACAGCATTCAAAATCAGCATGATCATACACATAATTGAGCTTGGAGAAAAAGGTAATCTGTATGGGGAGATATTCCTTGTTTAAGGGCAACTAGGTCCTGTAAGTTTTAAAGATAGTATTTTTAGGTATGTTGCTTTAAATTTATTTATTTTCCTTACTTTCTCATATGTGAAAAAAACTTTTAATATCAGTAGTATCTCCTGTTATTTGGCTGATTGCTTCTGTCTGCTGCTAGTAGATTTTGTGCCTGGCCACTGCAGGGAAAAAAAAGCCCCTTTCCCCTTTAATGGTCCAGAAATTGAAGCTTAATGGGAAAGAATATTCTGTTTTCACTTCTTCAAGTAGACTGTCAACTCACATTCTTGAGTTTCCACATAATAAGGACTTTTATTTATATAAAAGCAATGAGATGCAAAACAACTTTACAACTCCTACAAAAGTGAAGTATAAGCAAAAATATCAATCATGACTTGTACTCATAACTTTACAAAAGCATTTATCAGTTACACTGACTGCATAACTGCAGTTATAACAATCTCTTGCAAATATATGAAGCCTACCACATATTGTCTTATTTTACTTTGCCATCAGCATAAATCCATGTGTCTCATTACCTTTTTTCTAAAGGTATCTTCTAAAGCAGCACTAGAATACAGATACTAACAGAGAAGACAGATGTGTTAAAAATATTATCAGTATATTTCAAAATTATTAGAAAGACACATTATTGGCTGTGTTATTCCTTGGCTTCTACTGCTGTAACATTTGCCGTTTATAAACTGAAAAGTTTTTAAGCCTTAATTCAAACAGTCGATTTACTGTATTGGATTGTTCTCTGTATTTGCTGCCTTTGCAGGATCCAAGCTATTGAGCCATCTGCACCACAACTGCTTTCCAGGCTTTGTCTTTGTCAAAATCCTTTAAGGTATTATTGGAAACCTAAAAGTAAACACATTTCAGACATATGTAAACATTAAACAATGCTTCGGTTAAAAACTGAATTTCAAGCAAACATGAATAGTTACAGTGTGAGCTATTAAAATATTCTATACATTGTCAATTGTATAGTTTTCTATACTGTATAGTATACATTTATGATATAAAATATAACAGTGTAAATTGTGCAATACTCAAGACATTTTAGTCAAAGAAACTTGGCCAAATTCCTACATTAAACATGTTACTTAAGACATTGTTTTCCAAGATTTTTGCTAAAATGTGACTCAAAGCCCTAGCATCTAAATCTCTAAGCCCAAAGCCAGAAGTAGCTCTCTACAGTATGACTGAAGCAAGATTTATCTCCATACATGCAAGCAAACTAAGGTCTTGCCTAAGAACATAGACTTCTGAAAAACCAAAGGGACCCACAATTTAACCTGTAACATTATTCATGTGTTCAAATACTAAAAGGTAAGCAAAAGAGGTTTTGCTTTTCTGGACAAAGTGCTCCTTTTTGCATTTAACTTGCACCTAATTTCCCAGCGACTCACACACTAGGTACATTTATATAAATAATCCCTGGAGGAGATCTGTCTAGCCATGCTGTGACCTATGCTCCAAAATGTGACTTGAAGCGCTGCTGTGCTTCATCTTTTATACAGAATGTAATCCTCAGGACACAGATCCAGAAAATAAGCAACATATCGAATGCCCTCAGCAGCCTGAAGGGATACAAATTCACAATTACACTTTCCATTACCAGCTCTATAATGACTTGACTGAATTTCAGTCCCTGTTTTCTATCCAGCACTGTTTCAGTGCAGATTCAACAGTATCAAGTACTCTCATTCCATAGCCCAAAACTTCTGTTCACATTGATGACTCTCATTTAACCTTACAACTGTTCCTCTCTTAACAGGACTTGTCACAGATTTACAGGTATTGAGTCTGTCATGACCCAGTTACCATCCAACTAGCAAATTAATATCTTTATTACAAAATTCACCAGTGCATGAACAGATTTACAGTTTTACAGAGCAGTTTTAATTGTGATCTGAATTAAGTAACATGAAACATTACAAAAAATATCTTTTAATACAGATTTTTAAATATTATAATAGATATAAGTACACACCTCTGTTGTTCTATATTCCTGTTTTTTAACCTGTGATGCTGTCCATGATGAGTCATGTAGTTTCATTTTTGTCTTATAATTTACACACTGTATTACAGTTCCAATAGTAAGACAGGCCTGAATTAGAAGCATCAACATCAGAAGCAACAGGAGCACATCATAAGACTGCTGAAAACAGAGACATTAAATATGCTGTTAACTACTTGAATAAAATATTTTCTGCCGTTCCCACCCCTTGAGATTTGTATCTAGAATACATTTTTCAGCTCAAGATTATAATCTATAGTTTATTTCAGGATGATGTTCAATTAAAATGTGAGTGCCCCAGTTTGCTTGAAGTAGAACAGATTCATAATTTTTAACAAAATATTAATTTGCCAAATGATCTTTATAAATAGAACAGAACTGAGGAAACCATTCTCTAAAATACAGAGCCTCACTGCTGGTTCTGACCTGAGCAATATGTCTGGCCCTGGCCCTGTGCCTTGCTGGCTCTGCCTTTACCCTGATGACTTGAATTCCTCTCTGACCTTGGATCTGCCTTTCTACTATGGACTTTCCTGGCAACTGAACTATTGACTGAACCTGGTTACCATGGCTGGACCTGCCTTATTTTTCTTTTTTTTTAGGTGCTACAGGACTGCACCCCTTTCCAATGAGGTCACTGTCCTTGCCTGCCTTGCTGTCACCTTCCTCTCCATTGTTCACCCTCCTTTGCAGAGCAGCCCACTCTTGCTGCATACAGACACAGAGTAGCGTAAGACTGTAAGAAATGCCCTGCAGGATCACACCAAGTCTAGACAACCCAGTCTTCTGCCTCCCCATATATGTGACAGGAGAAGTTACTTAAAGAGAGCATGTAAGCTGTGGCCAATTTCTGGGGTCCAACAACACACCGTGCTCCTCCAGTGTCAGATCTGGATCACAAACTCAAAAGCTGGTTTTCCAGTCCCTAAGATCTCAGTTTAATAAACATTTTCCCTCTCTTCTTGTAAAATTACAAGACCACTCGAGGACTAGTGGGTAGTAGGAGTCAAGACGCTTATTGACACTATTTTAAGCCCCATAAATTGTTCTTTGAACATCATCACGGATTGCTAAACATTTTGACAGAAAAGCCTTAGAGAGTTCTTCAGCAATACACTGCTAACGTTTCATATTGAAATGCTTTAAGATTTGCAGATTTCTTTTCTTCTCTGCCCCAGTCCAGGCTTTGAACAAATCCAGGTGTAAATTTACAAGCCCAACATGCCACCTGTTGGTAGACATCCTAAGAAAGAGCAAAATGTATTCTTCAGGTAAACCTAGAATTTTATATACTACAAAGTGTAAAAGCCTCAAGGAGTCCAGCATATTATTTTTACTGGGTATTTAGAACAATATCCCATTGTTTTTCAACTATAATTCCAGGGTGGCAACACGTTTAACATACTTAAAATTATATCGTTACTCAAATAAGAGTTTTTGAATAATTTCTACATCATTTTATTCAAGTTTTAAAATGCAGTGACTTGTCTTCTTATACTTCCTAATTCACTCTTGAGTTGCTACTGTAATAAGTAGATGTTAATTTTTTAATTGCATAAAAATACATACTTTAACAGCAGGTGGATAATTTTTAAAGATGTCAACAACTTGCATGATACTGAAGGATAAGTACGCAGAAGCTGTGAACAACAATGGAGAGGTAACACTGCTAACGGCAATCAGGACCTCAACCTAAAAAATTAGATAATAAATGTTAAATAAGAATAAAATCAAGTTAACACTTTGGTTTGCATGCTATATATCCTTGAGGCAAGTATAACAAAAGTGTATAAAGGTGTGTAAGATTACACACATGAGACAAATACTGAAAACCATCCACATTGCATGGAGATACAGAAGCAAGCTCTGAATAAATTAATTTTCCTACCCAAAACACAATTGTTTTGTAATTAATTTTCCATTTAGCATAGATGATGGGGATTTTGTTTTATTTCAAAAGTGCCTTTCATATGCAGATAAAGGAAACAATACCTAGTTTAGACAGCCAGTATAGAAGTATCATTTATTCTTCAGTTTGTATGAAATAATGAGAATTAACAGCAGATATTGCAGATTTACTACAATGCAAATAAATTTGAGTGCTCTGAGGAAAATTTAGTGCAATACAATATCAATCACTTTTTCATTCAAGTATCATCCTACGGGATCAAATTCTGACTTCAAGTGTAGTCATGCATCATTACTGACATAAATAAGGTTGCACAACTGTAACCTAGAACAGATGTTTTAAGGAGGCTTAACTACACATCTGGGACAGTCAAGGAATAAATGCACTCTGCTGAATATACTTAGTCCTTGTTGACAGTCATGCAGATGAGGATTTAGTTTAAAATAGGTTCTAGGTACAGTGTAGCCTGCACACCTAATCTTCTTTCAGAAACCACAACTCATAATGAAAGGGAAACAGAATGGAAAGGGCCTCAGCTCAGGAGCATGAAAGCAGTTTTGGGCATAACATATGAGGTATGTTGTATTCCTATAGAAATATCCTTTCTAAAGGAACCAGTACAAAAAAAAAACCAAAAAACAACAAACAGTTCTTTTAACTCTTTTCTAGAATTGGTGGCATTAAGGACCTACTGGATTTCTTTTCAGGACTATCAGCTTACAGTCATGCTACATATTTCTGTCACATTTTGTAGAAGTAACTAAAAATAAGTGAGCAAATAAGAGCAGTGCCCACTATCACAGGCAGACTTTCTTAGCATTATTCCACTCCAATGACAAAATCCAAGAATTTTACATGCTTACCAGACATTTACTTGGATATTCAGCAGCTACGTGACTTGCAATAGCACTTGGAAAGCACTAAACAGAAAAGAGTAACAAAATAAATATTTACCTACTTGAAAATTACATAAATTACAATTGAGTTACAGTGATTCCCACCAGTCACAGATCACATCCTAAATTTCCTGAAAAGGTAAAACTTACCATGACAGTATTAGGAATCAGTTAGTCAAATGGAGGTAAAACCAATCTTCTTTTAACTTGCATTTAATGAGTATCATGTATTAAACCTACACATACTGAAATATGATTATCCTCAAAATTTGACACTCATACATAAAAGCCTAATGAATCCTACTGAACTTTGTGAATTCTGACTGCTGGAAAATCTTATGATCTTTTTCCACTTCAAGTTGAGGGATTTTCCAGACATAGTAGTCACACATAAATCTAATGTTCATTGCTTTCTTTCTCAACTGCTTCAATTTGTGGCAAGCAGGGTAGCACAACACCCTTTATTAATCCACTGCTCCTAGGTACAGGCTGTTACTAGGGTCAAGCGCTACCAATCACAGTTTCAGGCTTTTAAGACAGCTAAGGCTGGCAGGCTAAAGGCAACATTCTAAGGATTCTATCATGCTTAAATTAAACTCAACTTTTTCTATTGCAGCCTGAAATATAAAACCTAGGACTTGTCTGACAAAACACTTCACCTCTAATACCCTTGTTTAATTACTCATTTCCATTTTACTGACCTGAGGACTGAAAATGTATCAGAACATGTTACAAGAATCAAGTTACTGTAAATCAAAATAGAACAAGCATATTGCATAAATATACTAAGTATATTGGAGCACTAATTTATTTGCTAAGCAGCAATTGTCAGTTAGTATTAGGGCCAAATAAACATTACAGTAGAGAAGGGAAAAAGAAAAAGAAAAATCAAAAACCACTCTTTTCAAATAGCACCTTCACTTTGCACTACTTACGGCAACTAAGATCCAAAAGAACGTTACTGAAAGATATGGACCTGAGACTAGAACATCCATATTCAAAGCAATTATTCCACCAAATACTGATGAAATTCCAATAATCACCTCAATTACCTAAAACAAAGAAGAGGACACAAATTTTTAACAGTGCACTTGAATACCAAATTTCCTATTTGCATTTAGAATGGAACTCACAGGAAGGAAAAAAATGCATTTATGCTATTAGCTATGCATGAAATAATTTTTTTTCAGATCTAAAATATGGCAAAGCTCCAGCTAGCTTAAGTGAAAACAGGATCAGCTTCATTATACAAATTTATGCTCTCATTTATTAGTTCCACTGAACAACAGTTCAGTTTACACCATTTATCCTTAAGTCATTAAGCAGTCTCCTTCCTATTATACATGGCAGTCATCATTTATCTTGCAATGTTCCAAAAGGAAGCATTTTAAGATATATCTCATTTCTGTATTTATTCTTTCACCTCTTACCTACACTGATCTCTTCCTGGCTTTAAAGAAGCTTAGCACTTGGAAAGGTGAAAGAACAAATTGATTTAATGAAAGAAAATAACACTTTTCTTACTGAGTATGACTTCAGAATTCGAGTAGGAAAGCTGACGTTGCTCACAACGATGGTACCTTCATATGTAGTATTCTAGAGGGAAATAAAAAATCATGACCAAAAAATTACACAAAGCAATACATTTCCTTCCGATATCCTGCACAACCTGTTACACATCCTAATGGTAGCATACAATGTCTGTTTGGTCCATGAGAGCTGACAGTGACACACCACAGTGTTCGCCAGTGTCAGATCACATCAATCACATTAGAAACAAATGAGGTAGTCCCAGATTAGCTGTTATACAACCACTGTTCCTCAGTGACATATGGTCATATTGTCTCCCTTTTCCACCATCTCAGTACATACTTTCTTCCTGAGCCTTCAGATTTTACTGATGTGGATAAACAGTAACTGAAGGAGGATCATACACTACATGACTTTATCTAGCAAGCAGTACTTCCACTGGAACACAAAATGGGACAGCACATCTGCTTCATTATTAACTAAAAGAAGTACTGTTGTAGAAAAATGAGGGTGGGATTTGGGAGAGCACTTATGGCTAAAGAAAACTGTTTCTATAGCCCAAATCCTGAAGCAAATATTCATTGTCCAGATACCACCAAATTGGCATACTTGACAAATACTTTCTCCAGGCTTCAGGCTTCAAAAAGGCACTGCTGGCATACACACAAGTCACAGTATGCTAATGTTTCATATGTCAGCAAGTTTTGTTCTACAAAACAGAACTAAAACATTTGCTGTGCCTATTCATAAGATACTCAAACAAACCTGTGCTGTATAATTGCAACAGAGCATTTTGCAGAGGGCCCATTGCACTCTTACATATAGAAGAGGCTATTACTGTTTAGTATAGTACTTTTATTTATTGTTCAAATCTAGTTTTACCATGTAATATGAAATTATATACTGGAGTTACCAGTAACTTGTCAGTGTAAGTAATACAGGAAAAATCTATTCTTTTTTAACACAAAAAAAAAGGCATTTTTAATCCTTAAAGGTACCTACTTTCTTTCTCGTACAGCAGTCTTCAGTAGACCTAGCGGAAATGATCACAGTAGTTGCCATGAAGATTTCCAGCAGAATTAGGAGAATCAAGTTGAAATTTATCTGTAAAATTCCAGACATAATTGACTTACATCTTCCATATTAAAAATAAAGGGCAGGATCTAGCAAGATCCAAGTCTATTTTCTGACATTTAGACATATCTATTAATTAGACACTTTGTTAAGTGTTTTCTTGTTTCTTGATGAATTTAGCTGTCTGCATAATACCCAGAATGCTGAACCTAAGAAAGAAACATTTATGCCATTTATCAGAATATTCTGCCTGAAGCCTTTATCACTGTCTTCCAGAAGAGCACTCAATCACAAGGGGGAGATTGCTGGGTACATTTGCATTTTGCAGGACCACCTCCCATGTGAAACTATATGAAACACTGCAGCAAATCATGCAAGATTCACAGGAATACAAAGAGGACAAACAAGAGCAAGCCTGACTAGCCCAGGGGCTAAGGCAATCAACTGGAGAGGAAGGAGAGCCACAGGCTCCCTGTACCTATGCTGCAACCCAAATGGTGCTATACAATTTCTAATGCTGAATGAAAGCATTCCAAAGAACTGGGCCAAGAATGCTGGCTCTGCGCACTACCTAGCGCTAGCAGAGCACCAACGAACACTCTTCGTGGTTTCACAACTCTTGCAGGTTTTACAGACCTTACTGTGCAAAAACATGGATGTTGCCATTCCTCCTGCCATTGTTCATCTTCAAGAGAAGAATAAATGAATGTAATATTTAAAACTTATCTTCATTTCCTTGTTATCTTATGAAAAGAGGTAGGTATCTACTCTAAATGGGCTGAATCATTTTCTAGAGGCACACAAGTTAGGTAGAGTGGATCTCCCTCTCTTGTCTTCAGAAGCACCATGTTTTTCCATTGGCAGCCCAAGAAAACATTTGGTGGTTAGGTCAGGCCACCGGGCAAAGTACCAAAAATTTAGGGAGAACTGACTCCACTCAGAACCTACACAATTGCAGAAAACTATTGCTCAGTGACTTAGAACAGAATTATATTGTTCCCTTACATCAGACCTACATTGTAGATAATCAAATCTCATTTTTTCTCAGCCACTTATCTTGCAGCACACATTTTTTGAAAAAGATCTTAAGTGGCAGATTTCAAAGGCTTTTTTGGGTACTGAAATCCATCCTTCTCAGGAAATCGTAATTGAATGATGTGCCTTGCAGTATCTAACAAACTGTACAGTGGTACCAGAGCCACAAACAGCAATAAATGTCATAGTGGTAAGCTTCTAGGGAAAGTGCTAGCATGAAGAATAAAGCCATTATTTGGAAAAGAAGAGGTGTCAAACATGTGGCATGCAGACCAGTTTAATCCAGTCTGTAAATTCCCATGATTTGGATATGTTTCGACGCATAGTGCTGGTACTGATGTGGGTTGCCAAGGCCATACCATACAGTGCAGTGCCAAATAGATGTACAAGTTGAGAAGCTGTATAAGTACATTGATGGACCAGCTCATTTAGTGCTAGCTATAAGAAGTAAATAATAGAAATCAAAACAGTTAACAGTAAATAAAAAAGATTTTTTTTAATTTTAACTTTTATCTTTCCAGTGGGTTTTTTTGGTATGACATGTCTAGAATATCAGATAGAGCCTTCCACTCATAATATTAGCTCAACGCTCCAGGACTAAAGTAAAAATATCTCATTTACAGTTCTGGAGTTTGAGTGGCTTTGTTGTTTTTATTTTTTAAACAGAAATACAGATAAAACTAGAAGTAAGTACCTCTTTATACCATCTGTAACAATGGGAAATTCAATGTTAGATTTCTAAGCACCAAAGAAAATTCTCTCTACAGCTACCACTGAATATAAAATGTACCACTAGATGCAGAGAACCAAGTAAGCCGCGTCCCTAATCCTCTTCCATGACAATAAACATGCAAGTGTAACTGTGTAGAAAGTAATAGATTAGCACAACCTTAATCTTATTTGCTCTGAACCTCCACCAGGTAGTAAATACATGGTTCCCTGAAAATTAAATACAAAATGCTTAAATGCATACTTTTAACATGATTTAAAATATCCTAGAGATGTTTCAAGATGTCTGCACAGGTCTGACAAATAATGACAGAGGATCTAAAGGAGACTGATGCCCTCCTGGACCAGCGGCTGGAGTGAGGCAGGACAAGCCAGCACATGCCTAATGGAGACACACACTTATGGTTAGGCAGCCAAATCAAGCACCTACACTCCAGTATCTGTGTGCACCCACAGGTCCATCAGACTTCTTACTCTGAGAGCTGGGAAGGAACAGAGCAGCCACAGTGGCAGTTTGCATCTTTTACATATCACACACTTCATGTTGATTGTGTACTAACTACAGAACTGCACGCTACTGGAGTGGTGTCACTGCCACAGTCTAGGACATAGTTTGTATCTTGCATTCCATTTGTCAATCTAAAGTAATTTTGCAGAGGTATCCATCAACATAAGTAACACTAATGAAGAATTACCCAGGTCCTTTATAGGGGGACGGAGGGTTGGGGGTAGTGTTGAATATTAATTTTCTTAATTGGATAAATTTATCCTTTCTATGAGTCTTACTGCTTTTAAACAAATGGCAGTGATTTCACATCAGACGTAGTATTTTCTCGCACACTTTCCCATGGGCAGGGAAAACAAATCTGATGATGAAAGAATAGTTAGAGACGGTATTCTACATTTCTTTGTACCACATGGGTAATGGAAAACAGCTGGCAGAGAGCTGCGAAACAGTGAGCCTGCCTCACTCAAACAGTATCCTTCAAAGAGGAGAGCAAGTCAGCACCATGAATAACTCTAAAGGCAGAAAGGTTCAAAAAAGCTTCAGAGCCAGCTCTGCATTGCAGAGTTATCCTGACTTATCTTTATTCAATGATCAGCGACACAGTATGGAAATGTAATAGGCAAGTGAAAAGAATTAAAACCACATAACCAAGCATGTCTTGTGGATATTATTGTAGATCACTAACATTTGGCAGAGAACTTGCCTTTTTATAAATTTAATGTTTGTCACTTACACTTTTCCAGTCTAATATAAACTCTTTTTTAAATGGCTTGATCTGCCTTGAAAATACAAAAGCTGTTAATATTTAATATTTAATAAGACAATGCAAATTTTTATGCAATCTAGAAACTACTCACTTCAAAAGTATGCAACTAAAGTTACGCTCTTACACAGAGAGCCAGGTCAAAGCTTCTCAAGAGCATAAACAAAATTAATTATGCCACACTGGTGCTCATGACAAAGTAACTATTTGTTGTGGTGGCAAAATGAGTCCCTCAGGCCCACCCTTCCTGAGCAGACATGGCCTTCCACTGTCCTGACAGTTCTGTGATCCTGTCTATGAGGGGAAGGGAATGCAAAGGGTCTGGTAGTCTCTAGTCACACTTCTTTGCTGATTTCTCTCAGAATGCTTGGACTGGTCTCTAATATTTGAACTCTCTATCAAGAAAGGAAGGGAAAAGGGAAAAGGCACTACGCCCATGTCTTGTATATAATTCATTCAGCCCCAACAGCCTAAGACACTTGAGGGGCCAAACACATGAGGGAACTGCTACACTAGCAATAACCTAGTAAATAATTAACCTTGCAAATAATTAACTGGCATAAACTGTCCTGAGATACACACAGAACCCAGGGGGCCACGACATTGTCCCATCAAACACAGGGCAAAACTGGCCACATCAAAAGCCAGTTTGACTTGAATTCAAGGGATCTGACTGTCCAGAGTGCTACATCTCCACAGCTCCAATTGACTGCAGTACTCCATCTCTCTGAAAATTGGGCCTGCTGCACAGCAGTGTGAAGCTAGACTTAGTTACCTAATTTAAAAAGCAAGTTTGTAAGTATTGGCCTAATACACTCCACTTTTTAAGGGGAAGTAAATGCGGTTAATTTAAAAGTTCAACATCCATGAAATCCAGAGCTAACCAGCTATCATTAAAATAGCATAGAGAACTCCAAACCAAACTCTAGTTTCAGCGCTATTTTTCTATTATGAAACTCTTTTGTTACTAACACTAATTCAGATCTGCTATACTATTACAGGGAGCCATTACTAGTCCCAAGCTTTTATTATCACAGCAGCTGATACTATAGTGGGAGAAGAACTGAGCAACAGCGCATGACAGCACTCATTTACCCTCATACGAAATGTATGACATAGTTGTATTGAGTACTTCTGTTCCGTGGTAGTCTGTTATGAATATTCATCAGTGCTAGTGATAATACCTATCACTGTTATTTACTCATGTAAGTAGTATTCTTATGTAGTATAGAGGTCTCAGAACATTTTACTATAGAAAAAAAAAACACCAAAACCACCAACATGCTGTAGTTCTATAGGTGGCTCAGACCACGAAAGACCTATGTGAAAAGGTTGTGATTCAAAACCAGTGAACTTTTCCCTGCATCAAGTATGTGTGCTTCAAATGACATAACTGCTGCCTTCTCTTTGTTGAAGTATAAGAAAAATGTTCATCAAATGTTTCTTTCCTAGTGGCCTCAGAAGCAAAACCATCTGTTAAAGAAGATCCAGGAAAGGATTATACCTAATCTGATGATGAAATGTCCAAGAAATAGCTGTTTGGGACACCCTCTCATTTCAGTACAATTCAACCCCAAAAACTGGCTAATCTACAGATAAGCTACTAATTCATTTTCAATTTTCTGTTCTTTCTTCTCTTTCTCTCTTTAAAAAACAAACAAACAAAACCCAACCAAAAAATGCTACAGTCAACAGAAAAACAGTCAGTTGATCAACCTGGATCACATTTGAAGACCTAATTTATGGGTTTGAACTTTGAATACAAGAAGACAGGAAAAGTCATTTTCATATTAATCTCCTCTAAGTTATCTGTACCATGCATCTTTTAGACATGTAAGCTTTCACCTTCGATGATAATTTTGCATTCTTCTCTTACTCAGAAAAGTAAAGTTACTGCTAAATGGTCTCTCCTCACAGACTAAGTGGAATAGTGGGGTACTGATAACAATGTAATTACATGTGCTCTGCACTCACCCCACCCCTTCTTTTTTTTAACACAGATAAATGTAGCATTAATCAGTAATTGTTTTAGTAACTTACATTTATAGCTGATGGATTGAGGACAAGTTTGCATCCAAACCAAATTAAACACGTTGTCGTTACAGCAAAAGTAGAGACAAACAGAATCTGAAAATTTGGTATCTGAAAAACAGTTTCAGAATGGGTTTCTCTCTCATTTTAACAACGGGGCGGGGGGGGGCAAGATATACTCTCCAATAAAAATCTTATACTTACCACATTAATTTTATTCCTTGCTATAGCAAAGCTCACAACTGCTGAAGGAATACACTGGGAAAATTAAAAGAGAAGACTAGTGGGATATTCTGCACAAAGAATTTTATATATATTTTCATACATGTATTTTATTTGGTCTGAAATCACATTTCAGTTAACTCAGTCAAACAGATCAGAAACTCTGAGGAAATTCTGTCACTCTTGTCTGAGCTCATTAATTATAACAGTATCTGAGGATTACAAGATTCCATATCCCCCAGTTTTGACTAGCTAGCCAGCACAATGTGATGAGTAAAGGAAAGAAAATCAGTCTTTCATGAGGCGTGTCATGCCTTTGTTATTTTAAATTAACTCTAGAAGGCTTCTTTTCCTTGAGCAGGAAAAGAAAAACACTGCTACTCCCAAACTGGGCCCTCACATTCTTTTAAAGAGACAAAGTCTGGTTGTCTAAGGTAAAATTTGGCCAGTCTCGACACAGTTCTGTAGAACTTTCTAAAAACTTATCGAGGAAAATTACACTTGAAGAATTGTGCCTGGGATCTCTGCTATGTTCACTAGGAACCGTGCTTCTGTACTTAAAGGCAGAGCTAAATGGAAAAATCATGCATAAGTGAAAAGTTTCACAAAGAAATTTATCCCTTAGCTATTCCCACCACAATAGATACAGTACAGATCCAACTCTATTTTACACAAATACATGATGTCACAACACATTAATACACAAAATAAAAATATACTCAACTAAAATTATTTAAAACTTTTCCATGTTAAATAATAAATTATAAAACAGCTGCATTTCTTCACTAATTATCTTTTCACACATTTGAGCACTGATGGCTTAACAATGGAACTGCTATTACTAGATAAATATCAACATTCAAAATTCTTTGCAGCATTTCCTTAACACCTAAATGACCTATATCTAACAAAATAAAAACATTATTTTATGTGCTGAATAGCCTAGAATCTCTAGAACACTACATGACTGTGTATAGGCAACTTAATCCTACTGCTAGTCAAGATGGTCAAAAAAGTCTAGAGACCAATGCAGCTTATGCTAAGCTAGGCACTTAGTGGCCAGTTGACTGTACAGCTCTCCAGGCTCTTCCAGCTATACTGACTCTATTATCTGTAGTAGGGGCTGTAACATCTTGCTCACATACCAACACCCAAATATACACATCTTCAACCACAGCAAGCCATTCAGGCCCCATGCGATAACCTTCTGTGCCTATCAGAATTTTGGAAATTCTCAACAAATACAAAGTTCAAAGAGACAAAATTTGGGGCAGAAAAAGAGACATCTCAGTAACTAACAGTACCACTGCAGAGAATAAAATATCAGTGAAGACAAAAACTGCTTGAACTTTATTCTAACACCTCTAGCAGACACGTGACAATTCATTCACAGAGCAATGCTTTCCATCATTTACCAACAGTCCTGGCTG